CCATCCATCCACTTACAACAGGCACAGATCAAGCAACGGTACTAAAGCCAAGCAATACTAGCCTCTCTCTCAAAACAGCAGGTCTTAAACATGTTGTTCAAATACTCTGGCTATGACTAGATTAGTACCTGATCAGACCTCCTCCTACAGCCCCTATCAGTCTCCTTCAGGTTTGTTCTCCCCCCCTGCTTGCCTGTTTAATATCACATTATTTTTATGAAAAACCTTTTTCTAAGTGGTCAAAGCTTAATGAGAGATCAATTCTTTAAAATGTTTTATTTTAACTAGCAAAAATCTTCTCACCTGACGCCTTTGGCAGAGCTTTCGCTAGTCTTAAAGAAATTCAGCATGTCCTCCTGCAGGTTGAGGAACTGAGGCATATAAAATGGTGTTATGGCCTTTTCACTGACATTATCTTACTCTAAATAAATCTTTGGCTACTACTGATGTTTCAAATACTTAAGAGATGTATGAAAAAAAGGAATATGAAGAGCTGCCAATTACGTTTCATCTATTTCGTTCATAGACACTCTCTCTACCTCTTACACTACAATAGTTAACGTTAATGTTAAATAGCCTATCCTGTTTCTTTACCTCACGTAACTTAGAGTTAGCTAACGCTAGTTAGCTAGCTAGCTAGCTATGAAGCAACCGGTAAAACACTAAAGCTATATTAAATGCAAACCATAATTTGTCATAAATGTGTACTGTAGGTGGGTATTTTACTCCGTAAACACTTAACTTACTGTTTCACTCTGAATATGATGTATTTTGAATAAAGCCTGAAGTTTGCTTTAGCTAGTTTTTAGCCATAAATCCTGGCAAAATTTTCAGCGGTTGCCGACCTACGTTAGTTTTCCGAGGATTTAACCACCAGAGTCCCTCCCCCAGCTCTGATATGATTGGCTTACACTTTACAACTTCTGATATGATTGGTCGAGAGGGCGGTTACACTTTTCCCAAAAACACAAAACAACAGCGGACTTCCATCATGTATCCCTCAAAACTGATTAGAGCAGCAGCAACAGAGCCTCCCCCGGTCCACACCCGGCTATCACAGTGCATTGTGAATTCGGACACACAGTGCCGCAGCAGTGGCGGTTCAGGAGAATTTTACCAGGGGTGGCAGAGAGTTTCGGCAGGGTGGCACTCATACACACTCTCTCGCGACGGGGACGCGGGGGTGGTGTTTGGGGTGGTTTCAAAGCGACCGGGGTGGGGCGTGTTTGTAAGTGCCCGCGGTTGGGGGCGGTGTCAGTTCCGGTGTTCGCCGATACTACTGAATTTTAAGCTATTTAACATGGTGACGCGTTCATTTGAGCCAAAGTTATTAAAGAATTGTGACAATATAGTCACAATTGTTTGGCAGCTCTAGAAACTAATAGCATTTGATCTATGTGTACATTAAATTTGATTTTCTTCAGGATTTTACACCCATCTGCATCACAGAAATTGAAGAATCAATGTCAGAAACTTAGAGAAGACATAAAAAATAAAAGTAAGAATAATAGTAATAGTAATAAATAAAAATGTTTTTGAGCTTACCTTCATAAGTCATTTTGTCCTGAAGAAACAGAAGAAAATTGTAGATGTGGACTAAAACTGTTTGTAACGCTTTCCAGAAACAATCCTCTATCTTATTCTCTCATCAAACCACAAATGTAAGCACCTGAACTTTTATAAACATCAGTGGACCTTTGATTGGAGCCAGAGCCTATAGACAGCTGAGAGCAAAATAGATATATTTATTCATTTTTAATTTTGGTCAGAGGTGGGTTTGGCATGTAAAATAGTTGTAGTTTCATAGTTTTACAGAAAAGCGTATTTTCACTATGAAGGAAAGTGAAGGATTATATTGCAGAGCTGTTTTTTTCTAAAGGCCCCAGTAACTTTGTTAATATGCGTAGCATCATAGACTCTCTGTAAGGTTCCAGGACATTTTAAGCAAATGCTGGCTTTGCTTTCAGTGAGCTAAAATTGGACTATCGTTAGACCTTCCAGCAGTGTAATGTCCCAAAACATTTTTCCAGATTACCATGGAAGTGGTGAACTGACTACAGCCTTTCTAGTGCCTTGACCTAAACCTCACTGCACTGAAAATCTGTGAACTGAGGCCGAGAGGTCACCAGCAAGGTAAATTATTGGCACATGCAGACTTCTACTGTCTTCAGTAATCAGACATACCAACTGTTTGTAAATAACATTAAATAAATATATAAATACATTAATACAAAGATACATATTTTTACATGCACATTTATTTATTCATTGTGTATTTATTCTGCTTGTTTACTTGTTTATGTACTGACTATGTTATATACAGTACTGGGCAAAAGTCAGAGACCCCCTTGCATTTGTGCAATCTACTACCAAAATGACCACACAAGCTCAAGCTATTTATTTTTTCAGTGAAATAAACACAGAAAACATGTATTTAACAGAAAATTACAGAGAAGACCCAACAACTGAATATTATTTAAAAATGTTCAGTAATTTGGTTTTTGTGTCATTTGCTATTCTTATAGCTTTCTTACAGCTTTTTTCTTGTAAATACATCTGAAGTTCAGTCTTAGAAGTTGGTTGCATAAGTGCTTCCAGTTAAAAATTTAGACTTCAACCTCGGCCCAAAAATTAGACTTTGCTGTTTCCTTTTCTCAGTAATGGCTTCTTCACATCTTTTCAGATCCATAAGTACTGCTTAAGTTTTTACTGCTTGACCCATAAGTAAGCTTTAAGTACTGTTTATCTGATGGTGACAGGTTGCATGGTTGTTAGGTTTCCCATTTTCTCTTTATCTTTTAAATTTCAGTATTGAAAACTTTTAAACAAGTAGATTATCATAGATCTAAGCTTATCAGTAAAACCTTTTTTAGCCATTTCAGACATACATGAGAAAGAAATTTATAAGGCAGCTAAGGTGTGTTTGGGTAGTTGCCTGTGTGAATAGTAGTGTAACGATGACAATGATGTTACTGCTTTTTAGCAACTATATGAGCTTTAACTCATGGTTTTAGGAATGGAAGGATGGAAGAGTTAAACTGATAGTAATGAGTGAATTTAGCTACTTTGATTTGCAGTTGAGCTGCATTCATCTCCAGCCAAATTTAACAAAATGTTTATTTAAATTGAGATGCTGGTGTGTTGAACACTTGTCTTTTACAACGTTGCAACAATGGCAGGTGAGAAGGCAATTTTTGGTATCCTTTTCGAAGACTTTTTGGAGCCTGATAGTTGTTGCATACACCAAGCTGCAGTGGCCACATTTGTAGAGGACTTTATTACAATGCATTGTGTGCACTGTCTTTTTAATATGTTTGGGTTTATATACACATCACTGCTGACTGGGTAACACCTCTGACACACCCATCAATGAGAGAAAACATACCTCAAAGCTTATTGCACACGCACATTGTCTCACACTGTTTCAATGAAACATGTTGATAAACCCAGAAACTGTAGCAAAACACAATGTCTTGAGAGTAAACGTGCCCCTGATGTTCACACACCCATCTTTGAATTGTTAATAGAAACACATGAGTAGGTCATGATGCCCAATGCCAGCCGTGGACTAGAGATATAAGAGTTTTTCTGAAGTGATGGAGCACCATCAAAAACCTTTGGGATGATTTGTAATGGTGTGCTTGTGATTTCAGAACTAATCCTTCTCCTGTAAAGTTGCTGTTTGTATTTACTATTTAAAGTTACAATATACAAGTATATAGTTTGTAGCATCCCACTATTGGCTGGCATTGGCACTGAGAGACTCCGGAGGTGTGGCAAGGCAGATGGTCACATGCAAAGGCTTATGGTAGCACACACCCTCCAAAAAATGAGCTACATGTGGTTATTTAATGTTGGTTGTTGTTACTTTAAGTTATGTACATGTTATTTGTCTTGTTTAGTATCGGGGCTGTGGGTTTTGTGTGTCGGGGGGTCACCGTCGAGGTGAAGTGTGTGGCTAGAGTTGACCTCTCCTGTGAGTCTAGGATTCTGAACGTGCCCCTTTCTACTAGTATGTTCAATAAAGAGCACTTTTTTGCAGCAGATCATAACTACTCTGTGTTTCTTTTTCTGTCAACGCTACACTGGTGTCAGAGGTGGTACAGTCCCCACAGCAGTCTAGAAGAAAATGGTGCTATTCCAAGAGTGACAGTGACAAGAGCAGAGCCCAGCAGGCCGTAACGATGTAGACGATGCTGTGAGGTTCAATGGGGAAGATGGTCTGATGGAGTGTGCATGAGCGGTGTTCAAGACAACGTTGCTGGCACAGTGGGTGGTGGTGAGAGCGGAAGGGCCAAGATGAGTGCCGCCGTTGCTGCCCCAACCCCCAACTGTGCGGAAATTGATGCACCGCACTGTGAGAAGCTCTACAGTACAGTACAGTACGGAGGTCTCATGGCAGCGAGGGTGCGGCCCTGATGAGGGACTGCCGAGGAGCAAGCGCCCCTCGGAGTTTGTTCTGGCCGGACTGTGCGAGCGCCCAAGGACTTGGCTTAAGCTGGTAGGTCGCTGGGGACCTGCTAATTTTTGAAGAGGGAGCTATGTAGCAGGATGCTACTGGCTGGCACTGGCACAGAGAGACCCTGAAGGTGTGGCTAGGTAGATGACCACACGTAAAGGCTCGTGGGACCAAATGTTGTGTTTAACGTTGGTTGTTCATTTATGTATGCATGTTATTTGTGTTGTTTAGTGTCGGGATGGATTTTGTGTGTGAGGGGGGGTCACTGTCGGTGTGAAGTGTGTGGCTAGTTTTGACCTCCCCTTCGAGTCTTGTAAGTACTTTTTGCAGCAGAACACGGATAACCCCTCTGTTTCTTCTTCTGCGGACATCACAATGGATCAGGCTGTTCGGCTGTAGGTGGCAGTGATGCGTCTTGCCGTCTGCCAAAATACGAAAGAAAAACTGAAGAGGAAGCCGGTGTGAACTCAGAAACGTGTTGTATTCTCGTTTTCTCAGGCTTCTCTTATAGTTAACCTACATCTGTCGAACCACTGCAGGAATGGAGGGGTCCGGGGAAGAGTTTTTGAAATATCGTTCACCGCTGGTATCCCGGTACGCAAGCAAAGAGATGGCTTTTAACTTCAGCGACAAAAAGAAGTTCACGATTTGGCGCACGCTTTGGATCTTCCTCGCCAAGGCAGAGAAGGTTAGAAACATTTCATCTGGTTGAATTGCTGCATACACTTTATAGATTTATAGCTTTATAGATTGTTATGGTTCGGGATTCTCTGGGTTCTAAATACTTTGACGTACTCGACCTTCAGGGAGTCAAGTTACCAGTTACTAGCTATAAATAGTTTTTAAGGGGGTCCAGCACTGTGAGTGATAAGAGACTTTCGAAATATTGAGCTAGGCTATAAGCTATCTTGATCTGATAAATATTTGCCTTAAGTATTTACTTGCACACATCTTACTTGCACTATTTGGGCTGACACTAGTAATATGGGCCAGCCAGAGTTCAGCATGCAGATCCCTCTGATTTACACCCAAACCTAATCGCTACTGACTATACCAGAGCTCAGACTCCTAACCTTAAACCCCACTGATAAGAGATTAGTTTACAGAAATCTGTGTCATCAGTGAACTTTCATTACCACCAAAGAAATCTACTTGGAGGGAAACTACCCCCAAAGGGCCCCTAAATCAACTGCATTAATGGATTGTGGTATCATTTTTATCATTATTTTACTTTCCAGAGATAAAATGATAGCTTACTCTGACTAAGAGCTTGATAACTTTTAGCAGAACACATTTAAAGGGGAAAAGGGGAAATTGAGGTCAAGCTAACAGGGCTTTCAGTTCAAAGTCCATTTGGGACAGAGGTGTGCAGAGTCACGTAAACCCATACTCCATCCATCCATCATCTAAACCGCTTATCCTTCTGGGTCGCGGTGGGGTGCTGGAGCCTATCCCAGCTGTCATTGGGCGGAAGGCAGGATACACCCTGGACAGGTCGCCAGTCCATCGCAGGGCAGACAAACAGACATACACATTCACACACTCACTCACACCTAAAGGCAATTTAGCACGTCCAATCAGCCTGACTGCATGTTTTTGGACTGTGGGAGGAAACCGGAGTACCCGGAGGAAACCCACGCAGACACAGGGAGAACAGGCAAACTCCACACAGAAATGACCCTGGTCACCCAGCCGGGAATCAAACCCACCCTAAACCCATACTCAAGTAAAAGTATTTATTTTTGGTTAAGATAATAACTCAAGTAAAAGTACCTTCCTAAAAAACAACTTGAGTTGAAGTGCAAAAGTATTGGGCCCAAAAAACTACTAAAGTACTGAGTAACCTATAGAACCGCAGAGGAACGTCTTTGTACATTTCAGCATCTATCACAATATAAGAAATTTAGTTGGAGCTGCTCTATATTTTTCTCGTTTTGAGCTTATTTTGGTCTAAAGGTGTTATTTGGGTTGGAGGTAACAAGCGAGAAATTAGATCTTCTGGAAGAGTGCTGGTGACCACTGTTCTAACATAACAGTTTGCCCTCCTACATATGTAACCACAGATCTTTCATGGATTGGTTTGTAAAGTTATTTCAAAGTGAGAAAAGCACACTGTTCAGTATCGTTTTCAATTTTATGGTGGAGCTATTGGCTGAGTTGCTGCTGCTCTGCTGTCTCCTATCTAGGTCATTGCTGGTTTCAGTAAGCTCCAAAATAAAGACCACACTGCACTTCATTAAGACCGCACAATATTAACTTACCTCAGAACCTCTGGTCACATGCCTGACCCCCCTTATCTGTTAGAAAAACTGCTGAACAGAGGCAGGGTTCTGTTAGCCAATCAGTTGTACAAAGGTGTTCAGTGTGAGACTCAACTGTGCATGCTGCTGGTGGTAAAGGCCAAAGTTATTTTTAGTCTAGTTCTCAAGACACACAGAGGAACATAAAATGTATATTGCATAGATAGAAATGTATATGTATATAGATGTTGTGTGTGGGCCTTGGTTTAAAATAACTTGTAGCAGCTATGTGTAAATGTGAGGGTAAGAAGAGTGTCCACAGAGATTCGCTCTTTACTGCCAGCGCCACAAATAATCTAGTACATGCTGTGAAAGTGTATACCACTAGTGTGTGGCAGCTGAGTGTTTCAGTACCAGATGCTCTGTAGTGTAAATGCTAGGCCTTTACTTTAGAACGAGTAGTGTCATCAGTTGGGAGCTACTAACTAGCAAACATCTCACCTCTCACATGCACTATCAAACCTCTCACATGCACACTGAGAGTGTTTGATAGTGCGTGTGAGAGAGTGTGATAACGAGGGTGAGAGGGGTTGATAACGAGTGTGAGAGGGTTCGATAATGAGTGTGAGAGAGTTTGATAGCTAAAGTGAGAGCGTTTGATAGCTAAAGTGAGAGGGTTTGATAGCTAAAGTGAGAGGGTTTGATAGCGAGTGTGAGAGAGTTTGATAGTGCGTGTGAGAGGTTTATAGTGTGAGAGTTTAATAGAGTGTTTGATAATGTGTGTGAGAGGTTTGATTGTGTGAGAGAGTTCAATAGCGAGTGTGAGAGGGTTCGATAGTGAGAGTGAGAGGTTTGATAGTGCGTGTGAGAGGTTTATAGTGTGAGAGTTTAATAGAGTGTTTGATAATGTGTGTGAGAGGTTTGATAATGTGTGTGAGAGGTTTGATAGTGTGAGAGAGTTCAATAGCGAGTGTGAGAGGGTTCGATAGCGAGTGTGAGAGGGTTTGATAGTGAGAGTGAGAGGTTTGATAGTGCATGTGAGAGGGTTCAGTAACGAGCGTGAGAGAGTGATCGTGAGAGTTTTGATAGTGCTCGTGAGAGTTTGATAGTGTGTGTGAGAGGTTTGATAGTGCGTTTGATAGCGAGTGTGAGAGGGTTTAATAGCGAGTGTGAGAGAGTTTGATAGTGAGAGAGTTTGATAGTGCGTGTGAGAGAGTTTGAACATCATAATTTCTAAGTTGCATCATGATTCAGTGCCATATACTGTATACACAACTTAGACATTATGATGTTTCGGACCTTTGCTTGAGGATATTTTCTCTGACTAGACCTTACTGAATTTTAATTAAAGACCACTGGCCTAGAGAGTTATCATTCAAATTAACAGTTTCTGATTCGCTCGTAGTCAAATGTGCCCGTCCCTCACGTGCGGTAGTTCACTCTTAAAAGCAGATAGTTGTTCAAAGGTCCTTTAGTAAAGACAGTGGTTCTATATAGAACTAGGAACACAAAGAACCATATGCATGATTAAAGAGCTCTTTGTATGGTGAAATGGTTCTTCTGATTGATAGACAATGTGCTGTAAATGTTTATACGTATGACTGAAGTCGTTTTGGTGCTATAGCGGTCCATATATTCTCGTCTTTTATTCTGTTGTTGTCAGTGGAAAAATCACGAAATAGCTTTGTTTCACAGCTTCACACACTAAGCATAAAATAAAGAAAAAACAGAAGTAGAATAAAGGGTCATGTTTTATTTATCCAAATGTAAAAAGTTCTGTCACTTTAACCGGAAATAAATGTGCACATATGGTCGCAGAACCTCGAAAATCAGGCGATCGCGGTTAAAAAATGATAAAGACAGAAAAGATCGGACATGAGTGTTGAGAGGATAGGCTGAGTTTGGCATTTGAGGAGGCAACATTATGTTTTATAGGTGTTTGTATATTTGATCCAGCTATTCTATCAGCAAAAAACTGAAGCGATGTGGGGAAGAGACTCTACAGGACTCCCCCCATTTAACAGCGAAATTAAAGAGGAATGAAAGTCACGCTGCCCAATAATGTTGAGAAAAATTCATTGTAATGTCACGTCGTCAGATGAGAACTTCGTTATAGTGATTTGTGTTACAGTCCAGACTTAACAGTTAAAGCTGTGAGCTCCTCGTTGTCCTATGTTCATATTGTTCATATAATACTGTGGTGGCTCTGGTTTGGGGAAGGAGCTTTAGAGGAGCTGCGCTGTGGATCCGCCTCTTAAGGGACGGTGTTATGGTTTAATGATGTTAGGGTTGTTGTTCTGTTAGTCTAAAATGTCTGTGTGGGTTATTTGTGTTATTCTGTAGCCTCTCCCGTGTCTCCTTCTTTACCAAGACACTCATCACTCATCTCAGAGTGAGGCACCAACCAGCGCCTTCGGTACATTAAACTAAACTCACTGCCAGACTCTGTGTTCGGCTTTAGGTCCTGATGTGCTGTTTGTTGTGAAGGAGAAACGAGGATTAACTGTTATTTACACACAGAAACAACCGAAACCACGAGTATAATCTGAAGAGTCCGTATGCCCGCGAGAGGCGTGTGCACGCGAAGGGGAGTCGGGATTCTGCACAACCCTGACAAACAGGCCTGATTTCAGTTATGCGTGCCCTCTGCACACTCTACGAAATGAAACACTGATATTGTTTGCATTACATAATTGTTTTAGGGTGAAATTACTATTACTATTTAATTTTCACAGTAAAAAATAAGCAAGTTTCATTGCATTAAAATAATAGTATGAGATTTCAAGGCTACAAAATACCACAGATTAAAACCAACGTAACTAACTCACTTTAAACGCACTAGCCTTTGAACTGAATAAGACTGTCCCAATGCGCTTTCCGTTATTCACGGCATTGCACATATTTATGAGGCTAACAAGCACGGCCACCATTTTCCCTCCTTCCTCACGCGAAATGGGCCCTCAGGAAGGTCTCGTTTTTTGTCAACCACCATCCATCACCTATTTGGTAAGTATGAAGTTTTTCTCAATAATACATTATAAAATGGTACATTTAAGAAAACAGACGTATTATTTCGTTTTTTTGTGCTCGGCCGTATGTTTTGATGGCGTTTAGGGCTCCAGACAAAAAAGGCCTAATTAGCCATTGGCTCCTAAATGAAAAAAATTTAGACCCCAATATATGTATATTTTTATGCACCAAATGATAACATGCCAACTGTAATGTGTTTTAAAACACAGCCTAACACACCAATGTTCTCAGAACTAGTTTAACTGCCCACATACCAATTTTCAGCCGTATCAATGCAACCGTTTGACAGAAGTCACATACCGAATAAACTGTCTTTTCTAGCTGTTTACACGAGGAGCACGCCTCCCCAAACACTCAGCCTTTAAAATATGCTTAGGATATAAGATCATTTCAGATTTCGTCACAGACAATTCACACA